GATTGCATCGACTCATTGACTCTTCAGCAATCCCTCACACTAAGCATGCTTGTAGCGACAGTGGAGAGGAAAAACTCCCTTTAACCAGGAAGAAACCACCAGCAGAACCAGGCTCAGTGTGAGCGGCCATCTGCTGAGGCCGTGTAGTACCGTAGATCATCACTAGGAGGCAAGGAATCGTGCTAGTGTGGTGTGTAAATGGTCGTAACGAACCGAGCTTGGCACGGATCGTTTTTCAGAGGGTAGGGAAGTTTTCTATCTAAGGAAAACAAGCTGATTGCATCGACTCATTGACTCTTCAGCAATCCCTCATACTAAGCATGCTTGTAGCGACAGTGGAGAGGAAAAACTCCCTTTTAACAGGAAGAAACCTCCAGCAGAACCATCGTTGAATGATGAAAACTGACTCTAAATTGATACGGCTCCTTTAGATTTTCTTCTGGGTTCTTTTGTGACCTCCTGGAGAAATTGTTGACGTTTCCTGGGAAGGTTCAACCTATTTTCTTCATTTGTAGATGAAGCCTGGAGTCAGACAGAAATGCCAATGTAACCCTATAGTGATGGATAGATGTCAGAGAGTTTGATAATATTTTGTTAAATTTCTTAAAGCTTTAAGACAGATTTATTTCGGGGAAAATACGGGGCTTGAGGGAGTCTTATCCCTTAATTAATAAAAGAATAAATCAAATCCTAAAGTCAGAATTTACTCAAATTATCTATTATTAATGATTAAATAATTTAATAAAAAAAAAAATGAATGTTATTGTTTTCTTTTACTATATCTGCAGCATGAATATTGCTGAATATTGCCTAAATACCAAGTATCACGTCTTTGAACTACCTGCTTCAACCACCTGAGGGTCTTCTAGTTATTTTTGCTGTGGGGATTTTCAGCCATTCAATCCCTCAAAAGGTTAACGAGGCTCGTCTCGTATGCTTTGCTCTTTCAAGGTCTAACCGTAAATACCTGACAATATTCAGACGTTGTGACCCTGAGGGGGGAGAATTATGAATCACGCTGCCTATGTCTATTGACAGAGACCATCATGGATTTCAAGTGTGCTCATAAGGAATATCGTTTTTATTTTCTGGTACTAGCGGGGCGGAGATAATTTCCGTTGTTGTAACACTGTTCAAAAGGATAAAGGTCACAGAAATAAAATAAAAAATAAATAACCTTCCTATTAGAATGGCTAAAAAATTTAAAAAAATACACAAAAAGGCATTAAAAGACATTTTATTATTTATTTATTTTTTATGAGAGACACATCTCCCACCAGGATGATCCATCATATTAGAAAAGAAATGTGGGACTTTAAGCCTGAATAAAACTATATTCAAACATTTTACTAAACATAACCATTGTATGATATTTTGAACAAGAATTGCTCCTGAATTGTTATATTTTGTCTTCCTACAACCTCAGCCTTTAAAGTGATACCAACACAAAGTATCGTCTAATTATACATGTTCTGGGTTTTTTATTTCTCTAAAACCAAATATGGTTTCTGCCGATATCAAACTTTAAATGAAAACACTGTTATCATCATAAAACATTGTGGTGGCAGCATCATGCTGAGGGAATTCTGGTTAGAGTTGATGGGAAACCAGTGGAGGAAGATCCTGCTGATATTGAGGCAGAGTTAAAGCTTTACATGAAGCCAGCTAACTATGGCATGTGGAAAAGTTTAAGGCATTAAAAAATAATTGACCTATGTCGGGCTGAACCAATTAATCAGAATAATCATGATTAATTGATTATTTTAATAATCTAATTTAGTAATCGATTAATCATAAACCGGAGTGTAGAGACTATAATATATGTCTTTAGCTGACAGAGTGACCCACTTAGAGCAGCATAGAGCAGCATACTTAAATTGTAAAAAAAATATATATACCGGTATATAAACAGATTTAAAAAAAATTGGTTTGCAACTATCAATTTTTTTCTATCCAGAACTCCCCAAGTGGAAACATTTCAGATTCACCTGGTTTAATTTAGTAGAAAATCTCCTTTAAGGAACCTTTGGCTATCTGATTATTAGCTTGGTTCTTACGGTCTTGTACACATAACGCTAGCACGGTTCCTCACCTCCTAATGCCGATAATTACGCAAACAAAAATGGTAGCACCCTTAACATGCAGGAACTTAGCTGCCTGGATAGCGTCCTCCGGTTAAATTTCAATGAGAGCCTCTGTCTCTGCATCATCCCAGGTAGCACCACGCTCTTTTGGTGCCATTTACTGTTAATAGGTTGAGAAGGATTTAGTTTTGTGAACAGGTGAAAAGATCTGGGAATTGCAAAGCCGGATACACCAGAAAACCCGCAGAATGAGTCAGCTGATTGTAAATAGGAGATGAGGCGGTCTGCTCATGCGCTCTTTATCCCCATTTCCTCTACCCTTTAGGAACTGTGCCGAGATCGATGCGCGCACGGTGACCGAGCTAATTGTTCAGTGCAAATGTTATGCAGAACTGAACCGGACCATGCCAGACACAACCGAGCCGCGCTAGCATGGTACTAGTTCATCAGTAGGGCTCGACGCGGTTCAGTTCTGGCTCAGTTCTCAGCTCGGCTCTCAACAAATACCAGACCGTCATCTCCTTACAGTAATTATTGATAAAAATCCTAGCTTCCCTACCGTCACTCACGATTTCCAGTGATGATTCTGCTTAGCATTGCGATGAATCTCAACATCTGTCGTTGTTTCCCTGCATCTGGAAGCCCTGATTAGACTATCGTTTGTCGTATCCACTTCCCAAAAGCCGAATCTGTTAAGTAGATTCCCCAAAAGCGGACTCTTCACAAACTTCCTTAACATTACAAGCACCGCCATGTTAGTTTGCTTGTTTACCTCTAGAGAGCAGTGATTCAATTTAAATTCTGTTTATTTCTATTGCGCAAATTCACAACACATTTCCAGTTCACCAGATCATCCAGTCAGATTGATTCAAAGTTTTCTATCTAAGGAAAACCAGCTGATTGCAT